TTGACTATTCCATTAGGTCCAATTTGAGATAAGAAGACCAAAATACCCTTTTCATCTACTTATGTTCCATTTAGTTCACATTATTTTCTTATGTTTCAATAAGTCCTATGGGTGACATAATTACCAAAATACCCTTAATGTGAATGTTCACACCGTCAATATAAATGTTTATATCGTCAATGTATAAGGGCCCGGCTCATGTCGATCCTCGTGGGTGCCCGGAAAAATTCGAGTCGGGCCAGGCCGGCCCACAAGCCAAAAAAATAGGCCCGACCTGGCCCGTTGATAATATGAATATTCACATTGATAAGTTAACATTCACATTGATAGGAGTGTAAAATTGGCCTACAGCCCGTGGGCGGCCCGAAACCAGCCCGTCACCCGGGGCGGGCCCGGGCCGGCCCGTTCACAATATGAATATTCACATTGACATATTAACATTAACATTAACATTAACAAGAGTGTAAAATTGGCCCATGACCTGTAGGCAGCCCGAAGCCCGGGGCCGGGCCCGGCCCGTTGACAATGTGAATATTTACATTGACATGTTAACATTCACATTGATAGGAGTGTAAAATTAACCCGCGGCCTGTGGCCGGCCCGAAACTCGCCTACGGCTCGTGGGCTGCCCTGGGCGGGCCCGGCCCGACCCGTTGATAATGCAAATATTCACATTGACATGTTAACATTCACATTGATAAGAGTATAAAATTAACCCGCGCCCCGTGGCTGCCCAAAACTAGCCCACGGCCCGTGAGCGGCCCGAGGCGGGCCCGACCCGGCCTGTTGACAATGTGAATATTCACATTGACATATTAACATTCACATTGATAAGAGTGTAAAATTGACTCGCGTCCCATGGGCGGCCCGGGGCGAGCCCGGTCCAGCCCGTTGACAATGTGAATATTCACATTGACATATTACCATTCACATTGATAGGAGTATAGAATTGGCCCGTGGCCCGTCGGCAGCCCGAAGCCTGGCCCTGGGCCGACGCGGGCTTGGCCCGTTGACAACGTGAATATTCACATAGACATGTTAACATTCACATTGATAAGAGTGTAACATTAGCCCGTGCCCCGTGGTTGCCCGAAAAACGCCCACGACCCGTGGACGGCCCGAGACGGGCCCGGCTCGGCCTGTTGACAATGTGAATATTCACATTGACATGTTAACATTCACATTGATAAGAGTGTAACATTAGCCCGTGCCCCGTGGTTGCCCGAAACCTGCCCACGGCCCGTGGACGGCCCGAGACGGGCCCGGCTCGGCCTGTTGACAATGTGAATATTCACATTAACATGTTAACATTCACATTGATAAGAGTGTAAATTGACTCGCATCCCATGGGCGGCCCGAAGCCGTGGGCGGCCCAGATGGCCCGGGTTTGGGTCCAGGACTACCCGGGCCGCGGGCGAGCTTCGGGCAGCGGAGAAGTTTTACACTCCTTCAATGTTAATGTTAACATATCAATGTCAATATTCACATTGTCACGGGTCGGACCAAGCCGCCTCAGGCTGCGATCGGGCCTTCGGGCCACGGGCTGCGGGCCAATTTTACACTCCTATCAATGTGAATGTTAACATGTCAATGTGAATATTCACATTGCCAAGGGTCGGGCCCGCCCGTGCTCGAGGCCAATGTAACACTCTTATCAATGTGAATGTTAACATGTCAATGTGAATATTCACATTGCAACAGGCCGGCCGGACCCGCCCCGGGCCGCGCCACGGGTCGTGGACGGGTTTCGGGCAGCCACGGGGCGCGGGTTAATTTACACTCCCTATCAATGTGCATGTTAACATATCAATGTGATATTCACATTGTCACGGGTCGGCCAAGCCCGCCTCGGGCTGCGGTCGGGCTTCGGGCCGCCCACGAGCTGCGGGCCAATTTTACACTCTTATCAATGTGAATGTTAACATGTCAATGTGAATATTCACATTGTCAATGGGCCGGGTCGGGCTCGGCCGGCAGCGGAACGGGCTTTTGGCCGTCCATGGGCCGCGGGCCAATTTTATACTCTTATCAAGTGGAATGTAACATGTCAATGTGAATATTCACATTGTCAACGGGTCGAACCGGGCCTGCCCGGGCCACCAATGGGCCCGGGCGGGTTTCGCGGCCGCCACGATGATGGGGGCTAATTTTACAACTCCTATTAATGTGAATGTTAACATGTCATGTGAATATTCACATTGTCAACGGCCGGGCTGGGCCAGTCGGGCCCACCCTGGGCTGCTGTCTAGTTTTATACTCTTATCAATGTGAATGTTAACATATCAATGTGAACATTCACATTGTCAACAGGCCGGGCCGGGCCCGCCTACTGCCTTGGGCGGGCTTTTGGGCGCCCATGGGCCGCGGCCACATTTATACTCTTATCAATGTGAATGTTAACATGTCAATGTGAATATTCACATTGTCAACGGGCCGGGGCCGGGCCTGCCCTGGGCTGCGGGCGGGCTTTTGGCGCCCATGGGCCGCGGCCCAATTTTATACTCTTATCAATGTGAATGTTAACATGTCAATGGTGAATATCACATTGTCAACGGCCGGACCGGGCCGCCCATGGGCGCCGAGCGGGTTTCGCGCCGCCACGAACGGGGGCCAATTTTACACTCCTATTAATGTGAATTTTAACACGTCAATAGTGAATATTCACATTGTCAACGGCGGCGGCCGCCCTGGCTCGAGGGCGGTTTTCGGGCCGTTCCACGGGCCAATTTACATTCCTACAAATGTAAATTTTAAAATATGAATGTTCACATCATTAAATTGCTAATCGTTGAAAAAATATTTATAAGGCTATCAAAATTAAATATAAGGCATAAGTGTCCAAGAAAATAGTATAAATCAAGAAAATGGACTTATGGAATAAAACTATACATACATGGACTAAATGGGTAAAAAATTCTTCTTGGTTAAAAACACTTCTAAATTGGACTTATCAATAAAAATCCCATTTTAAAATTTATTTAATTTTTTTGAATATTTATTTTAATTTTTTACTTATTAAATTTTTTAGATTATTTAAATTATTTAAATATTTATGATTTAAATTTTTTGAATATTTATTTTGAAAAAAATTATTTCCTTTGTAGTATTTTTAATTAAAAAATTGATTAATGTTATTTTCTGTTAATAATAAATTTTTTTAATTGAATTTTAAAAAGAGTTTGGTTATGAGTATTGATCAGAATTTTTAATAGTGTGAAAGTAGTGTGTTTTGTTATGAGTTATAACAATTTGAATTAAGTTTTGAAAATTCTTTCCAAAACTTATAACCAAACAAATTTTCTTACTTCACATGTGAAATCAAACTTTCAAAACTTAATTCTACACTTAATTCAAAACTCAATTCAACACTCAATTCAAAAATCATAACCAAACAATTTTTCTACGCTCAAATCATAATTCCACAACTGGCAAACTCAAAATACAACTCATACTCTCAAATCATATTTACAAAATTCTACCAAATGCAACCTTATAACTCATAACCAAACACACAACTCAAAACTCTATTCATAACCAAACTCTTTTAAAATTCAATTTAAAAAAAATAATGTCATTTTAGTCTAAAAAAATAATTTCTATATTTAAAAAATATACAAAACAAATATAATTTTTTTTTTCAAATAATAGGTGGCGATTGACAATTGTAAAAAAAAAAAAAAGGTATTGTTCTAGCGAACCGCCGGACATATGGGAGGATGTTGGGGGGACGATCGGGTAGATCCAAAAATTCAAAAACTGTGTGGGAGGATGTCTGAACGGACGACCAGGTAAATAAAAAATTCAAAAATTATCTAATTTACCAAACATGTTTTCAAAATGTGTTTTGAAATTAATTTGGAATCATGATTTGAAAACTTAAACTAAACATAACATTAGAATACAAGGGTGAAATTAATTTTAGAATGTCAAACCAAACACAATTTTTTTTTAAACTCAAAACTATTTTCAAAAATTATAACAAATAAGTTTTTTAGAGCACAATTTAGAGCATTTCATCGAACACCTTGTGGGCATCTCTTAAAACCACACAACTGCATGGGACAGTGATGGTGCTGATATAGAATAACAAAGAAGAGTTGTCAAGGTATAACCGTGGTGGCCATTTCATCATTGGGGCATTTTGTCGAACACCTTGCCGGTCTTGAAAAGCATCGCTACCCTTACTGATGAAGACCATCACCGCACTCATAGGCACAACCAACCACCTCCATCGAGCACCAAAACAAGAGTGTTTGTTTCCGATTCGCATCCACGATTTCTACAAATTGTTTAGAATTCTCTTGAATGTAGCACTTCTCAATCCATCCACATTCTTTCATGGATTAGAATACCTCCTAAAAAATTGTCGAATTCCCACCAATTGCTTCAAAATTTCATCAAATTGAGGCTTTTGTTGCTTAATATAGTGAGTTTCGTGGTGTTGAAGACTTGGTTACCAATTGTGAAATTAGGGTTTCTGGAGGTTTTTCTGAAGCGGGGAATTATTGTGTTGGCTGCTACTGTTTTCAAAGAGCAAGGCTTGGTTTTGGCTGCGCTTCTGGGTCTCTCTGCATTTTTTCTCCGTTGCTGAAACTTCAATTACCACACTTTGGCTTTGGAAGGTACATATTTTATACTCCAATTGGGATTTATTTATTTGTAAAATTTTGCTGGTGCGAGTGTTGTCATGAATACGAACATATTAGATTTCTATTTTGTGCTGGGAATAAACTCTTTAAGAATTCAAGTTGTTTAGTTTATGCCTGGTTGTTTGATAAGTAAAAATATTATTGGCTTGGCAAAATTCTTGTTTGATTTCCGTGTGTTTATCAGTAAAAATATTAGTTACTCCATGAAGGAGATCGAAGGCTTTGTGTAGTTTTATTGGCTGGCCACAAGCTCACAAATCCAATGAAGATATTAATCTCCACATATAAATGTGGTTTTGGTTTCCTGCAACCCCATACCGTGGTGGCAATAATTAGCGAGCTTGGGTAGCAATGTCCTGTGGATTTGGGAACACTGAAGAAGTAAACATCACACAACACCGAAGGATTTTCATGCCTAAGGTTAGATAGTTATATTCTTTGATTTGGCTTTGAAAAGGTTGAAAGAAAGGTTCTAGACTTTGTAGTGTGTGAAAGAGCTAGAATAGACTTGGATTTAAAGGGGTGATAGGCTGTAAAATTTTATGACTCTGGCAAGAATTTTTTTAAGCAAAATTTTGGGATCCCAGTTTGCGTTTTGGTGGACGATGACCGGAATGACACGCATCAATGCCTTCTGTCACTTGTAGGGGTTGCATTATGGTTAGCAGTTGGATTTTGTCACCTTTTTCATGTAGCTTTGTTCTAGAAATCTTATTTACATACTTCGACAAAAAATTAATTTTTTTAAAGTTGAAGAGGTGGAAATGAGCGTAGATTGGGTTGTCTCTGCTAAGATTTTAAAATACTAATTAATTACTTAGTTAATAGTGATACTTTAGTGCTATCAATATTTAAATTTTGGTCTAGCTTGTATGAAGGGTGGATGATATAATAATTCAGCTTAAATTTGTTGGTAATTTGAGCACAACCCAAATTAGATGGCAAGCACTTGGTGCTTTGGAAGGGTTTAAATTCTTAACATTCTCTTGATAATTTTTATTATTCGTTATTATCTACCAAATGATAAAGATTGTAAAAAAAAAAAAAAAAATTATCGCTCTGAATGAGAATAGTATTAATAATGAAATAATAAAGACTACATGGGAGAATGTAGCACAAAAATCTCACAAAATTAATTTTCTTCACTATATTTATAAAAGGTAATAATTTGAGATTCCTTCTATTAGTGATTAAAAATAATTTGCATTAGATCATTGTTATGTTTTTTTTTTGTTTTTTTTATTTTTATTTTTATTATAAGGCTATCATTCGTTATAGTATTTCTTCAATCCCATCTCTAAATTCTCTCTTTGAAATCTTTGTTTTTTCAATAATTAAGTTTAGAATCAATTTCTTATCAAATTTGTTTTCTTGATCATTATTTTATTGAAGGATCGAGACGAATAAAACTTTCATATAATATATGAAATTAGTGAATATAATACAAAGATGATAGGGAAGTACTACATATTTGTCAATATCTCTATGTTATTATTAGTTGAGTTGCTAGATTATACTATCAATTTAGAGCCCATATGATTTAATTCAATGTTCATGACTCTATTTGTATTTGACCATTTTTTCGTTGAGTATTATGTCTCTAAGATTTCTAATTTCATAACAAATAGATCATTTTATTAATAAATTATCAAGTTAAGTAATAATTTTTAATAATGTTAAAATTTTATTTCAATTAATAATTCAAATAATAATATTATTATTATATATGTGAACAGTTTGAAATTTTACTTTTTTAATTAATTCTGTTAAATAAAAAATTCTGACAAGAAAGTATTTGTAATTTTTTTATATCACAGAGGACAATTCGGGCTTGTTTGGTTTGTGTTTGTAGAGTAGTTTTTGAGATAAAAAGTACGAAAATTTGTTTGGTTTGCCTTTTTTCAGAAATGATTTTGGAAAATTGTTTTGGAGAGAGAGTTTTAAAAAAGTGATTGATTTGATGTGTATGAGAGAGAGAGTGATTTTGGAAAGAAGCAAACCAAACAAAATTTTAAGATTTTTTTTGAAAAAATTTGTTTGGTTTGATTCCTCTTGAAAATTTGTTTGTAAAGAATTTTTCTCAAAAATTTTTCCCCAAAACAAACCAAACAAGCCCTTCGTATTTTAAGCAATTTTGAAGGGATATATTTGTAATTTACCCCTAAAAATAAATAATCACATTAAATTCAATATTGACTTTAAAAAAAAAAAAGCATATGTGGGAATAAATTATCAGGTGTGTTTTGTTTATATTTTGAGATAAATTTTCAAATTTTTTTTTGGAAAGAGAGTTTAGAAATTTTTTTGGTTTGTTTAGTTGTATATTTTGAAAATAATTTTGGAATATGAGAGTTTGGGATAATTTAATATTTTATTGTAATTGAGTAGATGTGTGTGAGAGAGAAAAAGTGATTGATTGACGTATAGGAGAAAGAAATTGATTTTGAAATTTTTTTTAAAAAATTTTAACCCAATAAAATTTAAATTTTTTTTTCTAAAAAATTATATCTTCCAATACAAACCAAAGGAGCCCATCATCTCTAGAATTGGATGAAACCATTTTTTTTCTTTCTTTGTTGTGTATGTGTGGCCTCGAGAGCATCTCCAACCCAATCCTCTCACTAAAAGGATGAAAATAATTTTTTTTATTCAAAAAGTAAATATAGAATATGTCACTATTCATTCAAACTCCAATTACAAATCTTCGCAACCTTTCATCCTTCCTTCATCAAAAAGTAATTTTTGTTCATTAACAAATATGTAATTTTAAAATTTTTGTAAATATATTTAATATTATACTCATTTTAAAGGTATGATTTCATACTTTTTAATGATGCTAATTTTATAAAAATTAAATTTACATATTAAAAGTTATTTGTAATATAATAAAAAATATAGAATGAATAGTGTTTTGGAGGGGATCCTCTATCTTGCATCCTCCCTCCAAATATGAAGGATCAACTCATCCTCCTTCCAAATAGAAATGGATTTAGAGGATGGGTTGGAGGAGTAAATCCTTCATACGTACAGTTATGGAGGATGTATTGGAAATGCTCTGAGCTATGATAAAAGCGAGTCAAATTGTATTTCAATGGATGTGATCATAGGATAATACTAGATCAACTTTTGCGATGAAATTTCCACCCAGCTCAGCATCAATAGCACTGTACTTTTCTTCCATTGATGAAACCGTTAAGATAATTGGCCCAAAACTAGTCGAAACTTTTAGATAAGGCCCTGAATATTGGGCCTAATTTATTCGGTCCAAAATATTTCACATCGAAAATTGACTTGGGTTAAACTTAACAAGCCTGATTAGTTATGAAGCCCTAACTTTTCCCTTTCCCTGCAAAATAAAACCATACGAGTGAACCCTAGTTCCCCGGTGTGTGCAAGAAATTTCGGATTCAGCATCAACAATGGTTATCTTCGCCTTCAAAACCCTAAGAACTAATTTCTATCAACGCTTTATTTTATCTTTGATTTAAGTGATTTGTTGACATATTATTGAACAATGGTGATAGGGTATCGATCTGAAAGTCGGTGGGAAGACCAAGAAGACCAAGTGGACCGCCCCAAAATCCAATGATATCTATCTCAAGCTTCTCGTCAAGGTCTCTACTTTCTCTATCTATACATATGTATATGTATAAATTCAATTTTTTTTTAATACTGAATTTCATGGTGTTTGATATGTGATCAGCTGAATCATTTTCTGGTGAGGAGAACAGGAAGCAATTTCAATGCGGTGATACTGAAGTGGCTTTTCATGAGCAAGACCAACAAGCCTCCTCTCTCCCTCTTCCGCTTGATTCGTTTCATGCAGGGAAAGGTGCCCCTCTCTCTCTCTCTCTCTCTATATGAGAATGATTTATACTTTGATATGATATGAGTGTTCATTGTTAAAAGGATTAAGAAAAAAATTATACTTTCTAAACCCCTTCATAATTATAAAGTCTTACATAAATGACAAAATTTATTATTTAAATATTTTATCAGACTATTATACCCTCAACTAAATCTTCCCGCCTTCTTCACTTTTTCTCATCTTCATCTTCTTCTCCAATTTGTCATCGACCCCTGCTACTGTAGATAAAGAGGCTGAAGATCGCGAATGCTATGCTTGCGACCTCAAAGTTGGTCCCAACGGTTAGAGATCTGGTCAAGGTTAGGTTCGCCAAGGATCAAGGCTTGAGGTTCAAGGAATTGACATATATATATATATATATATATAGTCACATATCAATCTCTTACTTGATTGATTATGCACATAAATATATAGAAATCTAAATAGATTTTGAATAAGAGGTAGTGGTGTTGTTGGATCATTTGTCTCTCTCTCGACAGGCTTTGTACAAGCTTTTATTGAAAGTAACAGAAGAAACAAACGCAAAATGCCTCGAATATTCACCATTGAAATTATCTATGTTTTGTGAAAATGTATTTCGAGATTAAATTTTTTTATTATTTTTTATTTTTTATACTGAGAAATGGGTTGTGTTGATTTGAACATTGAATTATAGTAATTTTTTTTTTCAAAGTAAAATTTTACTTAAAATCATAATAAATTTTACTCTAATTCAGAGTAAAATTGTACTTTCAGATTAAAATTTTACTTTGACTCAAAGTAAAATTGTACTTTCAGAGTAAAGTTTTATTCTGATTCAGAGTAAAATTTTACTCTGAAATTTTACTTTGGTTAAAAACATGTTGATTTGCTTAACAATGTAAAATTTTACTTTGAATCATAGTAAACTTTACTCTGAAATATACTGTGAAGATGACTTAATAGGAGAGTTGATAAATATGAGGGTAATGTAGTAAAAGAAATAAGTTTTAAAATATTATGGGGTTTTGAAAATACCTATATAATTCTTGTCCTTTTGAAAGACAAATTAGACAGTGAGGGGTCTATCACCAAATCTCGCCTTTTTTTCTTGTCATTTTGTAAATATTTATTTTGAGCAATTTTCCTCCCATTTTCTAAAATGCTCAACAATAATAATTAATGAATTAAAACTTATAAAATTTAAAACACAACAAAATCAATTTCTAACACAAGCAAATCATTTAAAATTTTAACATTTTAAATAAAATCATAAACTAAAACAAGTACATTTTTCAAAATTCTAAACTAAATCATCAAAATCATTTACTATCCAATAATACAATTATAGTAAAATCATTTAAAATCCTAAATTTACCTAAAAGTAATTCTTTATTAACTTTTACATTAATTCAAAATGTAATAATAAAATAATAATAAATTATTGTCAAATTTTATCCAATTCAAACTCATTAAATTAAATAAAAACATTTGTAAACTCGCAAACTCCATCATGAATCAGATCCAACTTTCAAAAATTCAAATTCTAATTCTATCCATATAACCTTGCACAAAAACAAACTGAAAAATATGTAATTTAATCTTCGATCTCATAATTCCTTTGACAAAAAAAGTGTAAAATAATAAAGTAGTGATACGATAAACAAATATGTATATATTGCATCTCAATATAGTAAGAAAATGTGTTGAGTATATGAAAAATTTACAAATAAGCAAATGGTTATTAGAGTTTAATTATAGTATCAATATTATAGGTTGAACTTGAAGGTGAGCTTGACTCCAAAGTATCTAATTAGGAATCAACAAGAGAAGATCAATAAAACCTAAATAATAAAATGAACAATACAAATAAAAATGAAGATAAAAAAATTCACATATTATTCGAGTCATATTGCTCAAAAATATGTAGGATAGGATGAATAAATTAAAAAAAAAAAGTCTTAAGTGTGGACGGATTATTGCGGGTGTAGGTAAGTAAAACCCACAACTTACAATAATACCATATTTTAAATCCCATCCGTTCATATTGTGTCTGTAAAATCACTTATTTGTATATGGATCGATTTAAGTTGGGCGGGTTGAACAGCTCGAATAACCCTATGCCTAACCTTAATATGTATTACTGAATATTCTCCCCATGTCTTGTTTTGGTTTTGTTTGGAACGAGGAATTCACAAAGAAAATGGAATGGGAAAGGGAAGTGAGAAGGAAAATAAACATTACATAAGTTTCTCACCTATTGCCGTCGTACTTTTTTCCCACTCATTGTTTCCATAGTAACCAAGCAAGAAATAGCGATTTCTTTTGCATTTTATTTTATTTTTAGGTAAATTATAAATACATCCCTTTAGATTTACTTAAAATATGAATTTTTTTTATGTGATTTAAAAAATTACAAATACCTCTCTATCAAATTTTTTTATTTAATATAATTAATTGAAAAAATGAAGTTTCTAACTGTTTATCTATACAATAATAAAATTATCTAAATTATTTATTGAAATAAAATTTTAACATTATTAAAAACTGTTAATTAACTTGATAATTTATTAACAAAAGGATCTATTTGTTATGAAATTAAAAATCTTATGAGGAATAATCTAATTTCTAGAACTATAGGGATGATTTGTAATTTAAGTAAATCTCAAAGGATGTATTCGTAATTTATTCTTTATTTTTTTAATCAAATATTGAATATTTCCCTTGCTTCGGATTTTGGAAAAAAGTGAAAATGTATTATGAGCGGAAAATCTTTTTTATAAGCTCCCAATAAGGATAAATGCAAAATTCCATTTGGATCTAATAATGAATAACATAAAGTGAAGAAAAAAAAAAATCACTAAGGTTGCGTTTGGTAGAGTCTTGTAAATATGAATTGAGAGTATGAGTTGTATTTTGATTTTGTGAGTTATGAAATTATGATTTGAGTGTAGAAAATTTATTTGGTTATGATTTTTGAATAGAGTGTTGAATTGAGTTTTGAATTGTATGTGAAATTAAATTTTGAATGTTTGATGTGACATGCGAAATAAAAAAATTTATTTGGTAATAAGTTTTCAAAATAGTTTTCAAAACTTAATTCAATTCATAATTGATAATCAAACACACAACTGATAACTCAATATACTCGATATCTGTATTTTTGATCAACAGCCATAACCAAACTATTTTTAAAATACTCAAATAAAAAAATGATTTTTTTTTCAATTAATTGTTTTTAAGTAATTTTTTGAATAATTTTTTTTTTCATATAACTTCTATGTCAATTATTTTATGTCAATTAATTTTTCTGTTAATTTATTTTTTAGGTCTATATAAACATTAAAAATATTAAAAGTATTTTAAAAATATTCCGAAAATCAAAATATTAAAAATATTCCGAAAATCAAAATATTTACAATTAAAATATCAAAATATTAAAATATTTTTATGAAAATTAAAATATTAAAAATATTTCTATAAAATAAAATAAAATATTTAAAATAAAAATTAAATTGTTTTTGGGGTTTAAAAAAAGTTTTGAATTGTGTGTTTGGTTATGAGTTTTGAAAAGTAATGATTATATTTTGAAATGAGTTTTTGAAAAATGAGTGTAAAATTATGATTTGAAAGTTGTAACCAAATACCACACTTAAATCAGTGATAGAACTATGTTTTGAAATATGAACCAAACAGAACCTAAGGCTTTAAAGTGGCTTCATTTTTTTTTTTTTTTTAAAATGATTGCTCCAAAACAAAAGTGTTTCGTTGGGTTAACGAGTTAAGAGTATCCACACCAACCTCTTCAAATTTTTAGTCAAATTATAGCTAAAAAAGTTATTTTGCTATTTTAGTTAGTCACCTCTTTAGTACCTACTGTATCAAAACCCCCCCCCCAACAGCAGGATGCTAAGATTGCTGTGGTTGTTGGGACCGTTACCGATGACATTCGGGCATATGAAGTCCCTGCTTTGAAGGTGACTGCACTGAGGTTCACCGAAACAGCAAGAGCCAGGATTGAGAAGGCTGGTGGTGAGTGCCTCACATTTGACCAACTCGCCCTTAGAGCGCCACTTGGACAGAACACGGTTTGTATTTCAATCTTGTTGGTCTGTGCTTCTGCAATGTTGTCTAGTTCATATGTGTCGAATGTATTGTTTTGGCCCTGAAGGATTTTGCTGTTGAAACTGAAAATTGAGATGGGTCGAATGGCAATATAAGGTGTCTTGGGTACAACAGTAAGGCTGAAATTGCTGGCTTTTTGTGATATTTGATATGCCATTGACAATTGGGTAATCCTGGAATTTAATCAGAATGTTTTGATTTGCAATTGAAATGCATTCAATTAGTATTTGATGGTTCGTTAAGAACATCTCACTGTATGAGCTTGTAACTACTTTAGGCACAGACCCCCAAGCTAGGGTTGCAAATTGGGTGGGCTTAACTTGATCAACCTGAGTCTAGTTTGATTTTTTTTAGGATTTGGACAAGATATTTTTAAATTCGGTACATGCTTGGGTAAAAATTCAGAAGCCCAGATTAAATTTAGACGGGCTTGAGCAAAAACTTCAAACAATCTAAGTAACCCGAAACCCGAATTATGCATATATAAAAATATAAAAATATTAAATATACATATAAAATATTAGCCATTACATGATATTAATGTAATTTAGATTATTAAATCATATTAAATATATATATATATATATACAAGCAACACAAAATCTTATATTTTTTATTCTCACTCATTAATTGTAAAGACTATTATAGCAGCATCTCTTTTACATTATATAAATTATTTTTTTTAATGTTATTAATGATTTTCTACCCAAAAAAATGTAAATAAAGTCTAATTTTAATAATTTAATAATTTTGCTGGAAAAAAAAAAAGAAATTCATTTACAATTCAGGTTTAACTCGGGTCGAACTTGGGCAGACAATCTCGGGTTATAATTCGAGCTTAGGCGGACCTGAGCAGGTCTCAGCACAACTTGGGTTGGACTTAGACAACCTTCCAACCCGCCTGAGTTGCACCCCTATCCATGATTCAGGTTTTGCCAATTTCAAATGCAATTTCTTTGGTGAGTTGGCAATTTTACTTGCTCTTCTTGCAACAAGAGGCTTTTTTTTTTTTTTAGTGTTTAAATATTTCGAGTTCTGGCCAACATGTCTTCGTAATAGCGATGGCATCCTAGAATCATGGTATGCAAGAGCTAAGGGCCATGTTTATCTAGACATTTGCAATATGCTTGCTTTTTACTTCATTTTGAAACTTTTTACAAGAATGAAAAGCTAATGATGCATTACTTACCCTTGCGAAAGGGTATGATAAATAAGTTTGTTACTGAATGTTATTGGTTATTGACTGGTAGTATACAATGTAACCTTGTTAACCTTTTTTCCAAGTGAAATCATTAATACAATTTAGGGGTGCAACTTGGATGGGCTCAACCCGAACAAACTACTGCACTTTGTAGATTGAACAATATCATTCATATGGTGAGATTTATTATAAGTCTTATTTTTATAATTCTAATCATTCATTTTTTAAATCACAAAGTCTTATTTTTATAATCCGACCAGTTTATTTTTTAAATCATAATATTATCAATCCAATAACTGTAACTCTATTAGTTTATCACATTTATTTACATAAAAATAAACGATAAATATTATTTGAAAACTAAGCTATCCATTTTTCTAGAAACAGATGTGACAAATGATTATCTCATCGACCTAATTTCTTACATAAATAATTTACACATTGTAATCTGAAAAAACAAACGGCTACAAAAGTACTTGCACATAGATAACATCAAGCAATTCAAAAAAATATTTATAAATAAAAATGAACGGCTTTGATTTTAGATCATTTCAACCATTCCTTCAAAATAAACCATAACTAAAAACAAATGTATATTAAAAAAAGTTTTGTGCATGTAAACTAGTTCCAAATGTAAGCATGCCCATAAATTCCAACTAAACAAGAAACTAAAATCGTTAGCCCATACAAAGGCTCCATTTGGGAAGAGCTATTTGGGGTTTTTTTGGCTATTTTAGCCACAAAAGACAAAATAGGCTATTTTAGTCACAAAAAATAAAACATCACATCCATCTCATAATCATTATACTCTTCTCTCACAAAAAAAGTCAAAAAAATCAAAAAGCCCTTCCCAAACCAAGCTTTTTAGCCCAGGCTAAAATAGCCAAAAAAGCCAAAAATCCAAAAAGCCAACCTACTTCCCAAACCAAGCCTTAGTCTCATATTTTTTGATTAAAAAAAAGTTTTGGCTTCCTAATTTACGATTTTCTTTCGTTTCTTTTAGCTAAAATTTAATTTTCTTATTTACTAATTTTTTTAATTTCAATCGCATCCTGACAAACAACATAAACATAAATGAGAGGGTAATTTATGCCTATATCAGGCCGAGCTAAGTAGGAGACTTCTTTGTTAATTGGGCTGCAGGATGGACCAAGGTAAAAACAGATTGACTTCGGTCTAACAGGCTAAGCGTGTGGGCCGAGCTAGCAAGGCATTATGCTTGGAAGAGCCGAGCTAGCTTGGCATTGTACGCTTGAGCACCGAGCTAACTCCTACTTCATACTTGGTTAGCTCGGTATTAAGGAAACAGCCCGGTTGGAGTATGTCAAAACGAGGTACACGCAGTAAAAGGAAGAACCGAGTTAATTGGAGTTCGGTCTAGTTTGCGGCTTCAGCATGGCCATGTTAGCTCGGTCATATTGACATCCAACCGTGGTAAAACCATCTCACTTGGTTTAAGTAGTGAGGGGGGTGGTGAAGGATAAACATCATCTTTCAGGAGTGTGATTCTTGGAAGGACTCTACATGGAGGAGTAAGAGTCCTACTAGGATTGTGCCACGCGGAACTTATAAAAGCTCATAACATCACCTATGAAAGAGGTAACACAACTTTGATTCCTGAATTCACAGAGCTTTTGTCTATTGTCTATTATGCTGACTTAGGCATCGGAAGGGTTTCCGGTACACACCCGGAGGGATGCCAGGGAAGGCGGGCTAATAGCCCCCGTCGCTCTCAAAGTCCAGAACGACAGAAGCGGAGGTTAGACCCTCAAGTTTTGGAAGATCGCGTAAAGGAGCAGGATGAGATAATAAGAAGAATGGCGTCGTACATGGAGTCAATGAAGCGCCAGATAAAAGGAAAAGGGGTAGCGACAGAAGAGGGGCGCAAAAGCAACACGCCCCCTCGCCACTTAGAAAATTGTGGTAAGTATATCACACCATCGCAAGCAGAGAGTAGGAGCTTGAGAACAGGCGACACTCGATCGAGGACTTACAGGACTCGTTATTCCAGGTCTGAGAGAACGAGAACTGAGAGGTCACATACTGAGGGAAGCACCTATCGGCCCTCGCACACGCACCAGACATCATCTAGGCACACGGAGTTGCCCAGAACATCAGACTTATGAATTGTGCTTGAAGAAAGGGCACGATGGAAGGAGGATATCAGGGCACGCGACCCGCGCAGAGTCTCAGCCCTTCAGCTGTTGGCCCCTCGGACGCATGGGAGCGTCGAGGTAAGAATGCCAATACCGCGCCTTGCTTATGAACCAACGGACAAAGCATTAGTAAGGTTACATGGCTCGCCGTTCGTTCCGGCAATTGAGAACGCGCCATTTCCTTCAGGCTTCCTCTAGCCCATCTTTACGACTTATGAGGGGAAGACGGACCCCTACATGCACCTAAACCACTTTTGCCAGGTTATGACAGTATATCGGTGAAACGAGACTTTGATGTGCATCCTATTTTCGTCCAGCCTAGACGACCTGGGTCTAACTTGGTTCGAAAGGCTACCAGAAGGCAACATTGCCTCCTAGGCACAATTGGCAGAGGCATTCGTGACTAGGTTCAAAACGAATACCAAAACACCAGTAGAGATCGATTAGCTACTCTCCATTGACATGGGCGACAAGGAGACGCTGAGATCTTACAACAGTCGTTACTGGGAGACCTTCACCCAGATAGGAGATTGCCCCACCAATCTTACCATCGCGCAGTACAAAAGAGGGCTACCAGTCGGAAACAAGTTGAAGGATTCAATTACTATGGCGCTACCTCTCACGATGGAGGCCTTAATGGAGCGAGTACACCAACATATTCGTGTAGAGGAGGATGGCGCCCGTGGTAAAACAAAATCTGGCGCAGCAGCAACACCAGATAAAAAAATCTGGCACAACAGCAATGCCAAATAAAAAGACTATAGAAAAAGTCAACACGGTAGAGCAACCTAACAGGAATGGGCGAGGCAGGCGGGCCAACAAAGAGGACCCAGACAAAAAGTGGTTAAGAGTCTGCACCGCCATTACCACAGTATTCAAAAAACCAATCTACCAAATTCTCAGTGAAATACGTGATGAACCTTTCATCCGATGGCCAGCCAAATTGGGAGAAACCCAAAAAGACTACTACGAAAGGTCCCGGTGCACATTCCATGATGAAAAGGGGCACCGCACTGAAAATTGCACGTCGTTGAGGCAGCATTTGGAGGAGTTAGTGGCGGCTGGGCACTTGGACCAGTACATAGAAGGAGGAACACAGCCAGCCCCCCAAAACCACAACGTCCCAAACGGAATGCCGGTCGACGCCCCACCTCAAGGCGTAATTAACGTAATACATGGGGTATTCGAACCTGAGCAGGTATGTGAGCTCAGGGGCATGATCAAAAAGGCTAAACACTTAAGGGAGGTATTAAGTGCACAACCTGCCATCAAAAGGGGGAGAACAGAGGCCACGAATGTCATATCTTTTTCAGACAGAGACTTGGCAAGGATATATTGCCCTCACAACGATGCACTAGTTGTCACTCTCCGCGTCAAGGATTTCAACGTCAAACGGATTTTGATTGACATGACTGGTACAACCGAAATGGGGACGGAAAGTACTGCAGGAATTGTGCAACCCCTAATACATGACTCCCTGCTACAGTGAGAAAAAGAAGGAATAAACCAGGCCATCCCTAATGAAGACTCATCAACAAGTCATAACTTGGGACAGATAGACAGTGAAGAGCAAACCCTAACAGAAGGTGTGAACTTGGAAGAAAACATCAGCAACACTCACGACCCAAAGACATCATCCGACCCATCAACTTGCTGGAAGCTATTCGTGGGAGAGATATGGAAGCTCTTTGTGGATGGAGCATCTAACAGGTATGGTGCAGGACTCGGCATAGTCCTCATCTCACCAGATGGCCTAGTAGTGGAACAAGCAGTCAACCTTGGCTTCCCAGCATCAAACAACGAGGCGGAGTATGAAGCACTT